AGCTGGGGAGGAAGGGGGGAGCCGTTGGGCTTGGGGGGGGGAGTGGGAGGGCTGCTCTCTCTCTGCTGGCCCCGGAGTTTTGTGTTGTGCCCCCTCCCTACTTACATGATGTGTCTGAACTGGTGGCCCCCTAGTCGGGACCCCCGTCAGGCTTGGGACCCCTTTGTGCGGGGCACTGTGCAAAGGCCGAGCTGTCTGCCCCAGTGCCTCCTGCCCCCACAGCTGGGTCTCGCTTTTTTAGGGCTGCTGCCCAACCTCCCTTTGTTTTGTTTCTCTCTCTCTCTCCTCCCCCTCCCCCGCTCTCCTTGTGATAAGTTTCAGTTATTGAACAAAGACAGCACTCCCACCACACACACACACCCCAACCAGGGATGATGGTGGGTGATTGAAATATAAAGAACCTGATCGCTTCTATGCACGGATTCAGTGACTTCTAAAACATACCTAGATTAGATGGGGAGAGTCTGGCAAAAATTAAACCTTCAGATGTTTTGGGTAGAGAGTGGCCAGAAGCCATTTCTCCAACCACCTAACCGAAACCCAGTGTGATTCATTTCTGTAAGGCATTGAACTGTTGCTGCTGAACCTCCCTCTCCAGTATTATTGTTTTCTTTAATAACAAATCAGGCCAGAGCTCTCCCTGGGTCTGTGTAGGACACAACACCCCACACCCAACAGCAATTGCCAAACCCACCCACACTGTCACAGGAGAGGACTCCTGTCTCTTCTCTCCCCTCCCTCTTCAGGGTGGGAAGCATATATCACCATCTTCTCCCAATTCATCCCAGTCTCCTTTCCCCATAGAAGGGTAGGACTAAGTACACCACCCTAAGCTTTTTCTGGCGTAAAGACAGAATGTTTCATTGTTAAGACAAGGGGGAATGAGTGTTGCTAAAGTTGGACTCAGAATATTTCACACTGATATTTGAGTCTGTAGATCCTGTCCGACTCCCATTGTCTAATTTTCATTCAATGGCACGCTACCAAATACTGAGATTTGTTTTCCTATTAAGATGAAGGATTTGGGGGCTGAAGAACAAATGAGCAATGAAGCTTTCTGGCTGTTCAAGCAGTTAAATCTACATTTGGAGCAAGAATGGAAGTTTCAGCCTCGGGAGAAGGGGCTGAGCCTGATTGAGCGCACTGCTGAGGTGAGGAGCAGGAGGAGAGCTTTGGCTCTAGGGGCGGAAGAGTTAATTATTCATGAGATCGATGCATTGCATTAAGAACTAGCTGTGTAAATATCAAAAGCTTTCCTGTAGTTTTACGCTAGGGAATTGCAGTACATGAAACTAAATAGTAAAGGGATGCTGTTAGTTCAAATTTAATACACAATTTAGGTTTTATACAAACTTGTAGGAAACTGAATACCAGTAGAAACACTTGTCTTTTAAAACTCCCATTATCATTTTTTTTCTATATAAACATCCTTTTTATGTTTTTGTGGAGGTATTTTAATTAAAATAAATGTATATATTATGTGCCATGAACTGTCTTTAAATTTCAACGCTTAAATTACTAGATATTTTAATTAATAGAAGAACTAGTTAAAAAATAAGGTGTGTTTTGTATCCGCATCTGATCTGTGATCTGCAAAAATGGTCCGCAGATATCAAGCGGATATCTGTAGACTTTCAGGGCTCTAGTATATAAAATTTGGATCCACATCCATCTGCAGTCCACAAAAATGGATTTGCAGGCTCTAGGGATGCCTTCCTGAGTTCGAGTTTAATGCCCTAATCAAACAGCTCCATCTGGGCAGACTCCCACTGAAGTCAGTCAGGCTCTGTGTCTGCTCCCCTTAGCAGGTATAGAGCCCCACTGGCTTCAATATGAAGTTAATAGCTTAGGTAAAGAAACTTATTTTAATGTATTAATGTTTCTATCTTGATTGTGTGCCTTCAAGTATAGAAAATATTGTTGATTCTTATAGATTTTAATTATATATGCTGAAGTCATAGTGCTTTGTCTTCAAAACACTGTACAAACAACTAAAACAATTCTTGGGGTTGTAAACTACTTGGGGTATCTTGACAAATTAGGCAGTGGAGACAGATCATTAAGGGAAATGGGCTTCTATACATTTAACGAAAGACATGAGAAGTGTCATCCCGTGTAATTTAATACTTTAATGATCTCTGTAAAACTGACCCAATGAGCTTTTCTGAATTTCAGCTGAATATGGAATATTTTAACTGGATGCTGTAAAGAAGAATTTTGATGAGTAATCTGTATTATCCCACAGGTAGCTCCAGGGGCACCCCTATCTACATGCCTACAAATTATATGTCTGCCGTGGTCCCTCAATATAAGCAGGGCTTATAATGGGTTTAATGTTTGCATTCTGGTGGAGAGTAGAGGGAACTCATTTAATACAGGAATTTTTCTGTGGCCTTTGCCCACACCCTGAGGTCAGGGCTTGTTCTGGTTATATACATTTTGGTAACAATTGTCTTTTAAAAACAAATGCATATTATAAATGTGGTTATACTTGATTTTGCACTAAGTTGACTTAGAAGGTCTGGCCTTCAGTCCAAACACTGTGGGTTTGTTGTGAGGCTTGGTAGGATAACTTACCACTTGTTTGGTAAATTAAAAAATCCACTGTTTTCACCACATAGTTCTTTTAAGATAATATTTGCCATCTGCTTGCCTACTTCTAAGACAGATGACATTGCATGATATAGTGTTGTTAAATGCTGATTTTACTCATTTCATTGCAGAATGAAAACACTTTATGTCCAAGACTAAGGAATGCCAAGGTTGAAGATCTATGGAGTCTGACCAGTTTTTTTGGATTTACAACTGAAACTTTTGTCCTGGCTGTCAACATTATGGACAGATTCTTGGCTCTTATGAAGGTATCTTGAGTGGGGAAGAAGTATTACTATGGCAAAGATCCTTGTGTTGAATATGCACGTTTCCACTTTAGTTTTACATTCATGAGGTTTGCTTTGAACTAAGGTAAAAAACAATCAAGATTCTTTAATAATAAACAACTGTAATTCCTGTCTCCTGGTTAGCAACATCCTGTGATAGCTCCTACTTCCTAGTTCAGAACTGGGTAGGGCACTTCATGACAGATAAGATTGTCAGAGTGACTATCAAATATTTATAGGGTATCATAACTGCACGTATCTCTACATAGGTAAACAAAAAATATGGTTCAGGTTCTTGCCCTTAAAAGCCTATAATGTTAATCAAATAAGATGAGTCACAATATTTTTGCAAACTAATAGAGTATTGAGAAACGTGTATACTATGGCCAATCTATGTGTGGTATTGTTAATATATAGTCCAGTGGAACTGCTTCAAGAGTACGTTGCTGGGGTATTCTAGGTAGAGGGTGCTCAGCTTTGGAATTGTTCCCCCCTGGAAGTTGTGCATTTCAAGATTTGCATTCGTGAACTTTTTTTTTCCTAACACTTTATTTTTTTGTTATACTGACAGCACTTTGCTGTACCTTTCTAGTGAAACTACCATGACAAAGTGCAATCTTGAAATGCACAACTTCCAGAGGCCACAGGGGGGAACAATTCCATAGCTGAGCACCCTCTACCTAGAATACTCCAGCAATGTACTCTTGAAGCAGTTCCACTGGACTATACATCAACAATACTACACATAGATTGGCCATAGTTATACACATTTCTCAATACTCTATTAGTTTGCAAAATAGAGAGGGGTGTGTGTGTGTCTGTATATATGTGTGTGTGTGTATGTGTATGTATAATATATATATATATATATATAGGGGGAGGGGAGAGAGAGGAAAAATATGAATGAGATTAGAGTATTTGGTTTAGACAGGCATCATGTACCAGTAAATGCAGTCTAAACCTTTTACTTAATGTTTATATTGTAGTAGTGCCTAGAGGTCTCAACCAGGCTAAATCCCTGTTTAGCTGGGTGTTCTACGAACATACATGACCGTTCTGCCCAAAAGAATTTGCAGCCTAAAACATGAAATGCCTCATGTTTAACTGTAAAGGTTGTGTGGCTTTTAAACATGGTACTTCCATAGTAACATCATGTGGGTCACTAGATCATCACAGGTGTAACAATTGATAAACGTTTGTTTGTTTGTGTTTGTTTTTCTTTCAGGTGAAACCTAAGCATTTATCTTGCATTGGAGTCTGTTGTTTTCAACTGGCTGCCCAAGTCATTGAAGAGGAATGCAATATTCCGTCCACTCATGATGTCATCCGGATTAGCCAATGTAAATGCACTGTTTCCGACCTGAAACGGATGGAAAAAATAATTTCGGAAAAACTGCACTTTGAATTTAAAGCTACTACTGCCTTAACCTTTTTGCACTTGTACCATACTATTGTACTCAGTCATACCTCAGAAAGGTAAGTGTAGTTATATCCATATACCATATCGGCAATGATCTGTCATAGTTATAAGACCCTTTTCCTCCTTTTAGAAATCTCATTAAATCGAATTCTGACATTAGCTTAAAAATAGCCATACTTTAATCTTACATTTTACCTGAGTATAAATGTTGTTATATTATTTGTAGGAAAGAAGTACTAAACCTTGACAAATTGGAAGCACAGCTGAAAGCTTGCAACTGCCGATTAATCTTCTCTAGAGCAAAAGTATGTACATTTCAATTGTTTTGCTTAGTAATTCATAATCTGATTTTGATTTGTGTATGCTGAGTGTGTTTTTTGTACTTCCAGCCATCCATATTGGCCTTGTGTCTTCTCACTCTGGAAGTTCAGACTTTAAAATCCATTGAGCTGTTTGAAATTGTTCTGCGTGTTCAAAAGCATTCAAAGGTAAACTATTTTAAATGGTTTGTTTACCTGTTGGCTTTAGCATGGAATAATGAAGTACCACTTTCCTAACCATGGGCATCCTGAACACAACCATAAGATGTTGGTTAATACCAGCATCCTTCCCCTTGGCATCTTGAGGTGTAAAACATACCATACCACTAAGACAAAATTTACATGGGTACATTTTGCGCTCTTCTTTACCAAGAAGCAATCTGATAGCAGGGTCTTATTGGATGCTTATATGATTAAGAACCTGTTAAGTTCTTCATCTTATCCAGTCTACTTAAAGGAAGCGCCCCAGTCATCCTGCTTCTTACATAGGAAGGGGCTTAAACATGACTCTTCTAAAATGTGGTCTATGTAAATGTACCTTTTTGGTTTTTCTTCTTACACTAAAGATGTTTAATATAGAAAAAGTGAAAAGTACTGTCTTAAAGGCATTAATGAAACTAGTATAGCTGAGTGCTTTTGTCTTAACTTTAAGTGTACAATAAAACCAAGACTTTACAACAAGCAAATCTACCCAGATTTATTTAACCTGAAATGTGTTCCCAGCCCTGAAGGAATTATTTCATATTTCCTAGCTCTGAATAGTTTTGTCTGACGTCCTTCATAAAATCATTGATACTATACAATTTTAATTTTCTTAATACAAATTAAATAGTATAACCGATAATTCTGTTTTGTTTCTTTGTTAAAATCCTAAGATTCAGGGTCCTGAGTCATAACACCCAATGAATGCCAGTATGAGGCAGGGACTAACTGGCTCATTTGCTTAAACCTGCCTTTAACTTAAAGGCAACATGAATTTTATTTGAACTGTCAGCTTCACACTATGTTGCACAAGATTGTCTTAGGCCATGCTAAAGGAGCTGAACTTGAAAAGCGAAAAGGACTGACTTTTTAGTCCATTACTTCATCAGCATATCACTTGAATTACATGCCAACATGTTCGTAAAGGTGAGGAGGCCTCATTCTAGACTGTCTGCAGTAGTAACTAATTAAATGTTTTTCTCACTTTTTTCTTTTTAAGATAAGTGATAGTGACTTACTCTACTGGCGAGAGTTGGTTTCAAAATGCCTGGCAGATTATTCTTCTCCTGAATGTTGCAAACCAGATCATAAGAAGTTAGTTTGGATTGTTTCAAGACGTACAGCCCAGAATCTACAAAATAGTTACTGCAGTGTTCCTGAGTTGCCAACTATACCAGAGGTTGGATGTTTCAATGAAAGTGAGAGGTAAGTAACATTCCTAGGGTGGTGGTTTTCACTGATTTTGATAATTTCTACAAGCATTGTGGTGACACTTAGTCATAAAAATAGATTTGATTCAGTAGTTCTTATTTGCATGAACAGTTTCTTAAGGAAGCATAGTCTTTCTGGTTGCAAACTGACTTAAATCTCCAAAGCTATATATTGCTTGGGTAACTAGAAAATCACCTCAGTTTTCCCAAGCAGTTGAAGTCATGTGGCATGATCTGACTTAGCAGCTCCCAGGAATTTAATTTTAAGGACTGCAAGCCAAATGTTCAATGTTTCGTTGTTGGCTTTTTTTTGGTCACTTTAGTCCATGTTAATTTTTGTTTCAACAGTTTCTTAAAGGACTGTTGCTAAGAAGTTAGCATGTGTGGGAACCAAGTTTGAAATTTAAGGGAAGGTGAGGGGGGAAAGCAGATTTATGAGATGGCAGGTTGGTATCTCCGAACAAAATCAGAAGAAAATAGCTGAGGTGAGAAGTAGTTTTATCACAAGGAAGTTTAAACATGTTTGCAAGTAGTTTGTCTAGTAAAACTACCTTTGATGTAACTCTTCCTTCTCAAAATTATCAAAAAACAATGTGTAACCTTTCATGAGAAGACAACTTTTGTTTCATGTTCAATCGTGTTTGCAGTAGTGTCTAAGAAGCATCATTGTGCAAACACAATAGCATGCAGTTTCTGCTCTGAAGAACTTACAATCTCAATCGACAAGACAGCTACAGCATGGGGGGGAAAGGTGTATAACACAGGGAACCAATAATGCTGAGCTCTTGTTGGAAACATAGTTGCCGTATGTCATGTTTGTTTCACAATTTTGGGGCGGGGTGTCTACTTAAAAAGGGCTAAGCAAAATGGAAAGAAAAGGGGAGAGGGACATTCAGGGGAGCAGCGTAAGAAGCTAGGAAGGGCAGATGTGGAGTGAAACTGAGGTGAAGAGACTGAGGGAGAGGAAGGGACAGGGTTGGAGCAATCAGCACAGGGCAAAGGAAGTCCAGTCAAAATTGTAGAAAGGTGTCTGAATGTGTGCCGGTCCCCGTTTGGCTGCTTCCGCAACAGCTCCTACTGACTGAAGCCTCTGGAGCAGTTTGACTCCAAGGCCACATGCTGGGGAGGCACCCCCTGTGTCCTAATGCCCCCAGAGTTTGTGTGGTTCGCCCTCCACGGTTTTGGGTCCATGTACTTGCTTGTGGAAGTGATGGCCACCGCTGAACCCCATTTTACCAGCTCCGCTGCCCCCCATTTTACCAGCTCCGTTGCCCCGCAGTGCAATAGTCCCTAATTAGGTGAGTTCTTTGCACAGCAGTCTGATCCTGCATCTGTTTACTTAAATGGCAGTCGTATTAAACCTTTAGTAATCTGGATGGTTGTCAATACTAAACATTTTAAAGAAACTAGTAGCTGTGCCATTTCACACAACAGTATAAACATAGTGATAAGACGTACAGTGCCTGTTTGTGTTAGTTAATAAGTGGTAGCATAATCATGCTAGTGGATTAAAAACTAGGTCCAACCCTTGCTAATATGCTGTGATTTGAGCATTGGGAGCACAGTAACTAGTAATACAAGCTTTTTCTAATATTTTTGAAGTCTCTTTGCCAGTGGAATGAAATTCTGTAGAACTAGAAGTATGAAGAGCTTTTGAATTTCATTGGCATCTGACATTCCACAGCAACTCAATATCTTTGTAGGAACAAAATATTTCATAAAATGTGGGATCCCCAAAAAAAACCAACAAAACTTTGCTACCTTCATGGCTGCTTGTGTAGTCATCCATGATTTGAGTAAATTACAAATAATTCTTCCTTCTCTTTTAGTGAAGACTCCTGTGAAGACATGAGCTGTGGAGAAGAAAGTCTTAGCAGTTCTCCTAGTGATCTAGAAGGCAACTTCTTCTTTGACCTCAAACCTAAATCTAAGTGGAAAGCTCTCAACTGTCAGTCTTAGCAATTTGATTGCACTAGAGTACAATTTTTAAATGTACCATAGGTTTTCTTGGCAATAACAAATGAGTAGGTAGTATCCAGGCAAGAGTTGCTATGGAATACCTAAGTGCTTATAATGCCTGCCTTTTTTTAGAATTCTGATTTAAGCAGCCATTTAGGTGCCCGTTCAGCAAAATACTTACACAGCCATAGTCCTGTTGAAGTGGACTATTCTTGTGAGTAACATGATGCATGTGGACAAGTACCTTGCTGAATTCGGTCTCACAGCATAATGGGCTAGTATTTCAAATGGTAAAACCGCTTTAGAGCGCACACGCAATCTTCAAGAAAAGAGGTTGTATGTGTTCTATTGTACTCATTTCTTTTGGGGCAGGAACTATTTTAACCAAAATTATATATTTTGATGGTGTACTCTAAGGATTTTAAAATCTTTGCTTTTTAAACTTCAGGAATCCTTGTTTGATTAGGAGTATGCATGATCTATTTTGGGAGGAATATAGACTTAAATACCTTTAAACCCATTCATACGAATGATAGTCTAGTATGTATGTGCTGGGGTTTATTTTAGTATTTTCATTTTAAACTAATGCAGAATAAGCTTATGCTGAATTTTATAATATGAACTTCAATGTTTAAAATTTGAGTGTGAACAAGTCAATTCATACTATTAGACTAGAAGTATTAACATGTTCAATTTTATAAGTCTACATTCCTTGAAATATTTAACCCTTGTAGTTGATTTCAGTATTCTTCCACTGTCAAATGACTAAATCCATAATCAGACTGGTTTGCATGCTTATGTGAAAGCTGTTAGTGCAAGAAGAGTTGGTATTATGCAGAAATGTCAGGTAAATGTGAAGTTGATAAAGTGGTTGATATAATGGCAGAAACTTGGTAATTTTTTTGCATTTTTGTTAAAGCACACAGATTAGTATGATTGCATTTCACTCGAGTATGGACAGCTAGCAAATGAGGAAATTCACTCTATAGAATAACGGTAAATGTGTGGTAGTGCCAACATAAAAATGAAGGGGCAAAAAAAGACAAGCTAAAGTTTAACGTTTGTAGAAGTAAACATCTTTCTAGGATGTGTGCGGATGTGAATGGTGATGTAAGTTCCTGAATGTTATATGCTTTCAGTTTTATAAACTTATACAAACGTTTACAAAATGTATTAAAAAAAAATGTAAATTTTAAAAATGTACAGAAAAATCTTAACTTTAAATGAACAAAAAAGTACTGTATTTTTTTACATTGTGTATGTAACTCTGTAGGTAGCTTGCATGTGAATATTAATTTATTGTGTATTCTGTATGATACAAATACTGTCTATTGAAGTCTTGCTTTTTCTACAGCAGGCCTCAATATCCAAGATATTTTCTGAACCCAGTCTCTGTTAAAGGTTATTAAACCTACTGTTTTGCTTCAGTTCAGAATAAAAATAAAGCAGTTGTATTTCTGTTTGTGTAAATCTACTGCAATCTAAGACTTCTCAGTAAAGTTATATCAGCTGCTCTATATACTGAAACGCTGGCTTGGTCTGAAACTTTTGTACATGGACTATTTAAGGCTTTTCAGAACAGCCTTAAAGGAACATAGTGTCCTTTTATATCCTAGATTTTTATAGATTGGGTCTCCAGTAAGAACCTAGCTAACTAGACTTTGATACCTGTTTTGATTCATGAATTGTAACATACTAGAGAATTATTTAAAAGACTTCTAAAATGGCTCTACATAGTGATTTTGTTTAACTAAGTTCTGATTTAATCACGGAGGGGAAACCCAACCTATGTAGGCAAAATTTTCTGTTACCCCCAACTAAGAAAATTCCTGTCACATATAGCTGATCTCGTGTGTTGGTTTTTTTGGCAAAAGAGAAGCTAAATTACTCTTTGCTCAGTCTTTTCTTAATGTTTTTAGACTTTGTACACCATTACATAAGAACAGTCATATGGGGTCAGACCAATGATCTATCTAGCCCAATAGCCTGTCTTCTGAAGTGGCCGGTGCCATGTTTTTCAGAGGGAATGAATAGAACAGGGCAATTGAGTGATCCCTCCCTCTGTTGACCAGTCCCAGCTTCTGTCAGTCAGAGGCTTAGGGATGCTCGAGCATGGGGTTGCATCCATGGCCATCTTGGCTAATAGCCAGTGACGGACCTATCCTCCATGAATTTATCTAATTCTAGTTGCTGTCAGCCTACCATTAACACCACTGCATCTCAGAGTCCTGGAACTGACACTACTACATGTTTTAGAACAGTGGTTCTCATCCTGGGGGTGGGACCCCCTCAGGGGATCGCAAGGTTATTACATGGGGGCGGGGGTTGCAAGCTGTCAGCCTCCACCTCAAACCCCGCTTTGCCTCCAGCATTTACAATGGTGTTAAATGTATAAAAACGTGTTTTGAATTGAGGGGGGGAGGGGGTCACGCTCAGAGGCTTGCTACGTGAAAGGGGTCACCAGTACAAATGTTTGAGAACCGCTCTTCTAGAAGGAGTTGGGCATTCTTTCCTAGCACTGTAACAATATCAACTTTACTATAGCTTCTGCCAGTTAACAGTATTAGGTTGTGATTACTACTCTGTGCTAAGCTACTGGGTGACTTGACTGTTAAAGGGCTTATTCCTTCACCCTTCCATTTCCCTGGTCCTTCTCATGTGAAGAGACAGCAACACTACCCAAAGTCCAAAGGTGTAAACAATTCAATGTTCATTGGGGTGAACTTCCACCAAGCTTAAATCAAAGTTCCTTTTTCCTTATTTTCAAATCCCAATTTACTTCCTGTTTCCCCTTAATTTATATAGTAATATTCTCAGTTATACCTTAACCTAATCATTTTACTAAAATTTACCTAACAATTCTAACATATTGTAACATGATTAGCTAACCAATTATATCCCACCACCTTAATTAGTTTACACCCAGCAAAATTAATTATACAACAGACAGAAACAATCACAGAACCAGACAGAGACCATGCAAAGAAACAATAGCAAAGTGAGAACTCTAATGACAAAACAATACAGAAGTGAGGATTTCACAATTACATCTATAGACAGAAGGGTTTCCCAACTATGTCTACTGATAAGTGAGTTCTTACCAAACAGAAAACTATCAAACTAAATTTCCTTTTACATCTTCTAGGCTCTTCCCTTTATCTGGAGGGGACAAAGCGGATCACCTTTCTAGCGGCTCCAGGTTGCCTTATTTCAATATGACTGGTTTGAAATGTGTGAGGACGTGACCGTATGGCTGTTCCCACTACTTAGCCAAAGGTTAAGCTTAAGACCAGGGCCTCAGAATGTCACAGGGAGAGAAGGCCCTTACGCAGACAGTGATTTTGATTCTTTTATATCTCTATAACTAGCTAAGTGATAAACCTATACTTACATTCTTAAAGTATAGGCCTTTACAGACAGTCCTGAATATCTATATCCTAACATTGACTTCTACAGTAAGTTCCCTTTTCTCCATCAGTGTGTGTATATTCACATCACATGTCACTTAGCCTGTCTTCTGAACAGTGTTTTTAGATGGCTCTAGCATGAATTGCATGAGATGTCTGCTAGCCTATGTGCCTAAACCAAATTATTCAGACTATGGTAGCATTATTGCATCTGACTGGCTCTCATTTTCTACATTAAACAAATTAAGATTGTGGTTTTCAATAACCTTCAACTCTTATCTTCAATAGCTATTCTAAAGCTCAAGGTAAGTTTAGCTCAAACTCAAGGCTTTGGCATTGATGACAACTAGGCCACTGGCCTTCAACCAGAGGCAGCTAGACTTACTGTCTTTGAACAGAAATCCATAGAGTGACCCATGAAGTAAGTCTATTAGTTCATTCATGTAAGCTGTGAAAAAAACACCCCCAAGTGGCTATATTCTGTAGCCTCAAGTTCTTGGAATTTCAACAAAAATGGATTTTAAGTTTGCTGTGCCCTCATTCTATAATGTTCTGAGTATATGTGCGGGCAAAAAGGAATAGTTAAATAGCTAAACATTACAGCATGAGCAGTGATTATGCTTACTGATGTCACAGGAGTGAAGTGTAGTGGTAAATAACTGTTTTGAGATGCTCAAATCCATAGTTGCTTCTGTTTGCAAGACTTCTCCAGTGTTGAAAAGGCTGGGTCTACTGCTGTTTCTACCACCCAAGGGAGAGAGCTTTGTACTGAAGAAATGACTTTTTTAGGATTTTTTGAGAAATATGTCAAAGGGGAACATGCTTGCACATGTTGTGGTTGTGTTCAGGAATTAAACCGTTTTGGGAAGAAGTTAGAGGTTCATTTTATGACAAAATGGCAACTTCCTCAAGATCCCCTGACCTCCTTACTTAATGCTGCAGTGAAGCATTTTACATTTTAATTAGAATGACTAATTTCATTGTTAGCAAGACTTTCACATTGGAAAAATGTGACTTCTCCTATGGAATTGTGGTAGAATAATATATGGACTGTCCGTGTAATGGAAAAGCTTTCACATCAAGTACTATGGTAATGCACCTCATTGGCATCAGCATTTCTCCCTTTGGTGGTGGGGGCATGGAGTAAATCAGTCTGACTCTGGAGAGGGTTGTTGGTTGTTGTTGTTTATTATTCCTCTCTGGTTTATTTTTCAGTATTTACAAAATGGGCCTTAGGGTAGGCCCAAGTTTTTCTTTTGTTTGGCTGAAACATACTAACTCAAAGAGGGAATACGTTTCCCTGCCCATTCTCTGGGGTGTTGCCTTATTATGCTGGCTTCTGGGTGCCAGTCCTTCCCCAAATAGCAGTTAGCTTGGTTGCTTCCCCTATAGGAAAGAGACCAGCCTTTTCTCCCTGCTGCCGCTTCTTTCTCCTTACTTCTCCCCCCTCTCACCAGACGAGGGGTTTGTAAAGGTCACAGACAACCCTTAAGTGGACTCAGGTGGGCCTCGTTAACATGAGGTAACCTTTTCAGCTCATGGGAAAAGGGCCTTTACTATGGTAAGGCTGATATATCTGCATTCCACCACTCTTATAGGGGTCAAGTGTGACTTTGTCACAGTATGGACACAGAGAAGTGCCAAAAAAGAAGATAGGTATTTAGAAATTGTTACTCTTTTAGTGAACGCAGAGGAAGCAGCCTTCTTCCCAGCCTGCAAGCTAGAAGCTTTAGTCAGGTTTGTTTAATATTAAACTGATTCTGAATAAGTAAAGTATGATGCATGTTAATGTTTTATTGTAGCTTTGCCTTACTGAAAAACTCATGGAAAGTGAAGGCACTTTTCTTAAACATAGGGTAGTGGCAGGGCCGGTGCTACCATTAAGGCGAACTAGGCAGTTGCCTAGGGTGCCAAGATTTGGGGGCACTAAAAAGCGGTGCCCCCAATTGTTTTTTGTTTTGTTTTTTACAGTGTTCCTCCCCGAGTGCGCAGTCGCTGCTCCACTTCTCCCACCTCCCAGGCTTGCAGCGCCAATCAGCTGTTTGGTGCCGCAAGCCTGGGAGGAGAATTAGAGGGGGGTGGCGTACTCGGGGAGGAGGCGGAGCAGAGGTGAGCTGCCGGGGGGGAGCTGCTGCACGGGCTCCCCCGGGGGGGGGAGCGTGG